CATCTACCTGGGTTGGGAGAAAAATGGTATTTGGATCACATGCTAATGCGTATAGGCAAACCATGAATTTAAAAGATGAATTTTTGCCAATCTTGGATTTCAGATGCGATTTGCTAAGTAATTTCGTTCTTTATTTGCGTGGGAAATTGTTAAAAACTGATCAATACCCTCTTTCAGCAAACTTTTGATTCTTTCGATGAAGGTTATGTGCAACTCATTCAAATCAAAAAAATAGTTTGCTAAGGAATGTGTTTGTTTCTTTTATAGAATGGCGTTCGAGGGCTCATGCTTGATATGTATGACTTCAACAATGACGTCTGGTTATGTCATTCTTTTCGTGGACAGTGTTACACCTATACAGCATTTGTAAGTTTGTTTCCCCAACTGCCAGTGTGTTGATAAACTTTGAATTGTCATTTCTCTTGTGGTTGATTTTGTGCAAATTTTCTCTCCCAGCAACCTGCCATCAACGTGCTGAAAGAGATTCAGGTGTTTATGGAAGCAAATCCGACAGAAATAGTTACCATCTTCATTGAAGATTATGTGAAAGCTCCGCAGGGCTTGACAAAGGTCTTCAATGCCTCCGGCCTCAGTAATTACTGGTTTCCAGTGTCTCGGATGCCCAAAAATGGCAGCGATTGGCCTACTGTGGATGATATCTTTACCAGATACAGAGTCGAATCAGCGCTTGCTCGTCTTCACTTCAATACAATCCAAGGAGGCTTCCGAGGGGATTGCTTATGAGTGGAGATATGTGGTAGAAAATCAATGTGAGTCTTACTGAAAATATGCAATGTTTAAAAAAAAAAAACAAATTAGGAGATCATTGGCGTGGAAAGTGTTTTTGAAATCGGTGAAAAATGGCTTGTTTTTGTTTCCCATTTTTTTGGTTTACATTTCTTATGGTGTGTGTCTAAAAGTGCAGATGGCAATGAGGGAATGGTAGCTGGTACCTGTCCAAACCGTGCAGAATCACCTCCCATGAACACGTCAACAATATCATTGGTTCTTGAGAACTACTTTCCTACTGATCCCAACACAACAGGCGCTTGCGTTGATAATTCTGCTTCGTTGATCAGCATGACAAATACTTGTTATGAAGCATCTGGCAAACGGTGGCCAAACTTCATTGCTGTTGATTTTTACCAGGTAGGGGAAGATTGACCTGCACTTCATAGACCCTTTCAATAGAGATATGTTTTGTTTCAGCTAAAAAAAAAGAAAACAAAACAAAAATTATAATATTCGGTTGGTTTATGGATTTATTATTGACGTGTTCTAGTTGAGTGATGGTGGGGGAGCCCCAGAAGCCGTGGATGAAGCGAATGGTCATCTGACTTGTGGATGTGATAACATTGCTTATTGCAAGGTTTGCTACTAATTCTATCTGATAAATAATAAGTCAGCTTAAATATTTAATGTGATAACATATTTTTCTTCTGTTATTTAAAAATAAATAAATAAATACAATTTTGTTTACACTAATGAATCCTTGTCAATTAATTTCAACCTATTGATTTTTTAATTCGGAATCAATTATTATTATTATCTTTTAAAGTGAGTCCTTTTTAGCCTTCAGAGACGTCCAAGAATTGATTAGAAGATTTGTTTGTACAATATTTTTTATGCAAATAAAAGAAAAAGTGTAGTACAACTAATTACTGGTCAAGTAGTTGTAAAATTTCACAAAAAGTAACACGGATGCTCACAATATTGCATGTGTAGCTTTCTTTGAAAATTTTGTATGACTAGCATTTCGTTAATGATCATATCACCACCGTTGCAATAATCCCAATATAATATTTGAAAACTCTACCTAATTCATACCTAAACCATTTGGGCATTGTCTTTGTGCATGTCTAATATGATAAGACTATTTGATACTATGCTGCAACCTAAACCAATAGCTGACTAATAATTTTTTCCACACATGGACAGGTAAATGCGACATTTGGCACATGTGACGTCCCTACGATCTCACCTCCACCGCCTGCCGCGTCATCGACCACAGCTGGAGGAGGAGGAGCATCGCAAGCAGCACCAAGCAGTGATTCTGTGAGGCGTTGGCTGATCGGAACAATTTTTACCATACTTGTCTTACTATGTTTGTAATTTGTTAAAAATTATTTGTTATGTTGTTTTTGGAACCACATGGATCTGTTTTGGAATGAGAACCATTTTGTATTTGATTTGGAAAACAGAGCTCGAGGCTGGAGGCATTTTTTTATTCAATTAAACATGTACCATTTAATTCTTATTGTATAGGTATAGTGTCAACATCCCCAAGTCCATGTTTATTTTTTTTCTTTTTTTTTTTAAACAACTCCACGACCACGAGTCCATGGTTGTAATATAATATTTTAAAGAGCGAGAAAGTTGACTAATTTGTTGCTGTGTAGACAATGTAGAGAAACAATTTCGGGTAATACAAAATAAATAAAATAAATCATGAGCCTTTAATTTTGTTAATTTAAAATTTAATCTTTTGATTTTTTTTTTATATAAATTATCTGTTTATTTTTATTAAGTAAAATAGAAAAAAATTAATATTTTCGTTATTAAATCTAGCAAAAAAGAGCAATTGATACATTTATGTACACTTATATTGGATTTAATCACTAAAATATTATTTTCCGTAAGTTTTTACCTACCAAAAATATGTGAATGGTCTAAATTGAAAACAAATAAAAACTTATAGTTTAAATTGACAAAATAAAAAATTATTTTGTTACAAGGTTCAATCATTAATTTTTTTGGGTACAATTTCTCCAAAAATTTAATATAAGTACACCATGTAATCACAAAACTTTCACCAAAAATGTTTGAGACTAAAATAAATTTTGTATCAAATATTCTTACATAATATTGGCATTAAGGATGAGTAGCGGATATATCGATTCGTTCAAATCGATCAAACCGAACTAATTCGCCGCATTTTGGACGGATGCGTGATGACGAGAGGATGGTTGCAGATTGATTTTTTCTAATCCACCTAGTTTTGGACGGATGACGGATTTGAGATTTTTTTGGTCGCAACCAAACCGCCAAACCGCGAACACCCCTAGTAATTTGTAAGACTTTGTGTTTTTAATTTATTTAAATATTTTGTTTGTATTTTCAATTGAAAAAGAGTTTAAATATTCTGTTGAATATATTTTTTGAATTGAAAAAAATAAATGTATTATTTATCTATATTTTTTAGTTTTTAAGTCTAACTTTAAAAATACTAAATAAACTATATGCTAGTTGGTTTTTATTTTTAAAAACATATATAGATATAACAATACAAAGACATATATTCTCTGCTACTGCTCTATTTATGATTTTGATTTTTGAATTGTTTTTATATTTTAAGAATCATAGATTATTATACTTTATATAATACTTTATGTCGATGAGGTATGCTGTAATTATAATATGTGGATGAGGCATGTAGTGATTGTAATATTCTAAAGTTTCAAATTTCTTTTATTTGGATGATGCATGCGATTATAATACTTTTTTAAGTCGTTTACTGTAATATTTTTTTTTTTTAGGAGGTGCACAAGTTGAATTATGTTGAAAATTTATAAAATTTTAAATCACCAAACCGATTCACATCTATCATCCAATCCGCACAATTCACATCCGCCGAATTGACGGACAGATGTGGATTGATTTTCTTTAATCTACCAATCTAATAGACAAATAACAAATTAAAAATTTCGAGACCGCAACTGACTGGCACCCATTACTAATTGACATGCCCCTGTGAGTATTGAGGCCCTATTTATTTGGGATACAAAAATTCAACTTGGCATGCCTGCCCGTGTGAGTGTTGAGCCCCGTATTGGATGAAAAAAATTAACTTGGTTTTTAAAATTATTTTGGGCTTGGTAAAAAAAATTGTGGGATAATTTTTTTTTATTTTTTAAAATTGATTTGATAATTATAAGAGGAAAAATATCATGATTATGATTTAGATTTAATATTTTGTCATATTGATTAAATTAACTTATTTTGTCTTTTTGTTAGATAATTTAACCCCAATTCATATGCCAAATGGGGCTGAGTATAATATTTGCTAATTTTTATGTGGTCCATTGCTAAATTTTTACTTAATGATTTGACAAAAACGTCCATTATTTCTTGCAATAAGGTTGGCATTTAACAAAAAAAAAAAAAAAAAAAAAAAAAACCGACTATGATGACAAAACTAGATAGAGGAGCGTTTTGGCAACATAGCAAAAAGTTAATTTTTTGGTTTTTTAATTTTTTTTAGTCACATCACTTCTCTATTTTTTTATACAAACAAAAAAATAAAAAAAATCACAAAAAAAAATCAAAAAATTAATTTTTTACCAACTTTTCAAAACACTACATTATGTTTGGGCCACAAGCATATAATTTATTTGTGGTTCACTGGGTTTTTGTATGACACGTCATCAGTATGGTTTATTTTTCCTTTTTTACCCCATTAAAATAATATCAATAAACCTGGTTGAATTTTCGATGTATATATTTTTTATTTTTTTTCCCCATTAAAATAAAAACTAGTTCACATAATTAAAACCAAAGAAAAAATTTCAAATTTTTATAAATTAAATTTTTCTCCAAAAAAGAAAAGATTTAATGAAAATAAATTTTTTTGTGCCAAAATAATTATTATTTTATTTAAAATAAAATAGAAAATAAAATTTGAAAACTCAACCAAGTTCAGTAATTGTTTATTTTCATTTTGTAGTGTCAAATAAAATAGAAAATAAAATTTGAAAACTCAACCAAGTTCAGTAATTGTTTATTTTCATTTTGTAGTGTCATGTCACGTCAGTCATTGGGCCCAAATACTTCTAACTCATGACTTGGGCCGACCTATATAAACAAATGGATTGGGCCCATTCAAAGAATTTCAACCGACAATAAAATAGGGCTTCTGTGGCCCGCCTTTTTTCAACACTCCATTGGCGCGAAAACTACAGTTTCCCGCCATTTACGTCATCTACTTCTAAATCTAAATCCTATCTCATATCCCCTCTGATCTTCGTTGTGATAGAAAGAGTGAGAGTTTAGAGAGAGAGAGATAGAGATGGCGGAGGAGCAGCCAATAGTCGCCGGAAGGCGGAGGAGCAGAGGAGCCGAAGCGGCGGCTCGTAAGGACGCCCTCGACCGCCTAAAAGCTCTCCGCAGTGGTGGCCGCCGTGAAAGTGGTGGCTTTCAGATCAGGATCGAAGAACCGATCTACGACACCGTCGGAGAAGATGAATACGATGCGATCGTCGCTAAACGCCGTGAAGATTTCGGGGCCTTCATTGTCGACGACAATGGTCTCGGTTACGGAGACGAAGGCCAGGAGGAGGATTGGTCCCAGGCCGGAGTCCCTTTGTCCTCCGATGAATCGGACGGTGAATTAGAGAGACCTAAGAAGAAGAAGACAGAGAAGAAGGAGCCGCCGCCTAAGAAGCCTTCTGCTCTCTCCGCTGCGGCGGCTCTAATGGGTAAGCAACGCCTCTCTAATATGTTCACTTCTTCAGTTTTTAAGAAGCCTAAGGATGATAAAGCCAAGAATTTATCAAGTGATAGTATCGTTGATGATGTTATTGCTGAATTTGCCCCTGATGAGGCTGATCGAGAGAGGCGACGGAGGGGACACGCAAACACGAATTCATCAACGGCTGTGAGGAATTTCCCGCTGATTAAGAGTGAAAAACAACCCGTTGCAGTTGTTGATTCGATGGTTAGGTCTGAATTGGCAAAGATTAATGCAAATAGTGAACCTTTTTTGGGTAAGGAACAGAAAATTGAAGTTGCCAAAGAGAGTGATTCGATAAAAGAATTTGAGAATGACCAAGATTTGAGTACTGAAATTGGTCACCATCCGAATGTTGAATCGCTTGAATCTTCGACGAAGGAGAGTGTGGTTGAGGAGAGCATGCCAAATGGTATTGAAGTGAAGGGGGAGGCGGTGGTGAAGGAGTTGTCTTTTGCTCTCAATGCGAAAATCAAAGAGGAAAAGGATCCAGCATTGAGCGCGACTGCTGGGTGGCAGGCAGTTAGGAATGCGGGAAATGGGAGCATTGGAAGTGATGAAGTGGAGGCAAATCCTGGTTTGAGTAGCGAAGAAAAGCCAGATTTCGTTCTGGATCCAGATGGGTCACTGCCTTTCTACATAATCGACGCTCATGAGGAGTTTTATGGTGCTAACATGGGTAACCTTTATCTTTTTGGGAAGGTATGGTGGTAATTTTAGTGCTGTCCATTATATCTTCCTGTTTAAATGACCATTTATTTGTAAATTTCATACATTCTATGTACATACATATGTAATTATAATTGAATTTTGTTACAAGGACATTGCAATATCTGTTGTTTATGTCATATATGTCTGTAGTTTAATCAGCATTAAGTTAATCTGGCATTACCTTTAGTTTTTTTTTTCTTCTTACGACTCATGACTGGGACTGGGTAGAAGAATAGAAAAATAAATATAGTTAAAGACAGCTACTTCAATTAGTTAAAGACAGCATGGGACAATAAAATTGTTTTCTTCTCCTATCTATATTTTTATCTGAAAAGATACAGTTCATAAGGAAGTAAGGTTGTGTACATCTTGCCCTCTTAGGCCTCGTTTGGAAACATGTTATTTTAGTAACTTTTTGATTTTTTCGTTTGGAAACATGTTATTTTAGTAACTTTTTGATTTTTTTGGTTAAAATATGATGTAAAAAAAATTAGTATGTTTAGAATGATTTTTTGGTTTTTTACGAAAAGATGGGCAAAAAATAGAGAGAAAAGAGAATATTTGACTTTCTAATATAATTTGTTGGTTTTTTAGTTTTTTTAGTAATTTTTTAATTTTTAGGCCAAAAGAGTGAGTTGCCAAACGAGGCCTTAGACCCCGCTTTAGCGAGAGCCAGGTGCATTGGTTCACTTTTTTTGATTTTTTGACAGATGCAGTTTAAATCTCTATTTAGGTTTGTGTAAACACGCAAGGAGCATGGCTTCATGGTGCATTCCCTACAAATATAGAAACTTTCATATGCATTGTGCATATTGAATTTATATGACCTGTTAGGTAAACATCTAGAAAACAAGGTGACCCTTATAGCTAGTCTTTTAAAATTTCTGCCATTACTTTGGTATTTTAAAAATATTCTTCCAAGTGTGCTCTAGCAAAAATCTCAATTAATACATCATGGCGTTTCCGTTTTTATTTGTGATATGTGATGAAAATGGTCACTTTTTATTCGTAAATTTCATACACTCTACATACATACATATGTATTTTCTCAGCCTAATTTTGCTGGCTTGTCAGAAAATTCGAGTAGTGTCTTTATTGATCTTGTTGGATGACTTTTGGCCTTTCTTGTTCAACTGAGGTTGAAGATGAAGAAGGATCTGTTAGATATGGGATCTAACTACACAGTGGCAAACCAATTCAACCAACAGTAGACATAAACTTCAAACCAATTACATTCCCATTACTCGTATTATTGTTTCTTTTCCAATAGGTGATGTTCATAACGCAATTCTAGTATCATCCTAAAGATAAAAATCTACTTCCCGCACAATAGGCCTCCTTCCCCCCCCCCCCCCCCCCCCCCCCCCCCCTCTTCAATGTAATGCTTTACATAAACTGGTTTGTGCTTCAGCAGCCAACAATTGACTCAAGAGTTGATAATTGACAAAATGCCATTTTATGTTGCCTTAATGTGAAGAAACATGCAAATATGCACCTTTGCAATTTCAAATGATTGTATATTTCTCAATGGTGATTATGAAGCTTGATAAAGATGATAGTTGATTTTACTGTGTAAATCTTCAAATATGTGCCATGGTATGTTTATGTCATTGATTTGTTGCTTCGGTTAGTTGTTGTTATAGATCTGATGTAAACAATTGATGGTTGACATCCAACATTGTAATTCAGGTCAAAACAGGAAGTACATATTCCAGTTGCTGTGTGATTGTAAAGAACATGCAAAGATGTGTCTATGCAATCCCAAATGCTTCTTTGTTTCATAATGAAATTATTATGAAGCTTGAGAAAGACGCAGAAGAATCTCGAATTTCTCCTACAGCTTTCCGTGCTAAGCTGCAAGTAATTCTATTGCGATTGCATTCTTTTATATGTATTTTAAATATTTCTACATTATGTTGATGCTATTTCTCTTTCTCTGGTAGGAGATCGCATCAGGATTAAAGACTGAAATAGCAAAACAATTATTAGATCGTAATGTTTCAAGTTTTAGCATGGCACCTGTTAAGGTTTGCAGATTTAATCATTGTCACGTGTCAAAAAGTTAACTATAACTCTCTCCCATTAATTATTTTTATTTTTATTTGTTGGTTTACTTTTGCTGACCATTCATATTGTTGCTTCACATTTCATAGAGAAAATATGCATTTGAGCTTTCTGACATACCTTCTGGGGAGAATTACGTACTCAAGATCAACTATCCGTTTAAGGTATACTGCTCGTTGTGTGAACCAAATCAATGAGGTGTTATTGACTACTGAGTTATTATGTTCATATGTCAATGGTTTATCTAATTTCAAAATCAATTTTAGAGACTAGGAAGTAATGTTTTTAATGTTGCCTGTGAACTAATGATGCTCTTTTCCATTTGTATGATTGTTGTTAAGCTATATTTGGCATGGTCTGTAGAAGTTATTAGTTATGGCTTCTGTAATTTCAGGATCCTCCACTTCCTTCAGACCTCAAGGGGGAACTGTTCTCTGCTTTGCTTGGAACTCATAACAGGTACAGTGGTCACCTGTCAGAGCTGGTTCCTCATGCATGGTCTCATGTTTATCTTTCTTTCTTTCTTTCTTCCTTCCTTCCTTCTTCTTGTTTATTTATTAATTATTTTTTTATAATGGGGTTTTCCTGCACATTTTATTACTTCTTGCATATTTGGGGGCAAATGTGGCTGTGCAGTCATAAATAGGAGGCTAGGAAGCACGGATACAGATACGGGATACGGATACGATACGGATACGGCGATACGACAAAATTTGAAAAACTAGGATACGGGTATGGTGGGGATACGTTCGTAAAAAATATTATTTTAACAATTTTTAGTAATGCAGTATGCATAAAAATAAAACCTAAAGCAAAAGACAACTTGATAAAGAAAAAAGATTCCTATAAAACTAAGAGTCTTCAAGGTCAATAGCTTCAACTTGTTCCCCTTCATTAGTGAATATCACAAGACCTTAGCTAAAGTCAAAAAACCATTCTTAAATAAAAATTTCAGCAAATATACTTTTTTAAGTCATCAATGATAGCCTAGGAAGCACGGATACAGATTTGGTGATATGGGGATGTGGATATGGCGATATGTCAAAACTTGAAAAAGTATGATACGGGTACAGCGGGGATACATTCGTAAAAAAAAATTTATAATTTATAATTTCAAACATTCATAAAGCATCCAAAACTAAAAGCAAAAGCAAATGCAAATTAAACATCATCCTTACATGCCAACATCAAAAAAAGAATGAGAGCAGAGAGAAGAAACGTGAGAGAGTGAGAAAGCGAGAGAGAAGTGAGAGAGACAACAAGGATACATCAATTTGACAAATTCTATTATTTTAACTCTCACTATATTCCTTTTATCAAAGAACTAAACAAAATATTATAAGTAATATGTAACTTCGAGTATCCGATACTTCAAAATTAAGTATCCGATGCTTCAAAATTAATAAAAAATTAATTAAGAAGTATCCGATACGTATCCGCAAGTATCCGAGGAGTATCGGTATCCGATAAGTATCCGATACGGATACGTCACCTTTTTTGAAGTATCCGTGCTTCATAGATAGGAGGCATAGGTTAGCATTCTATACTTTTTTAATCTAACCAGATTAGGGTGTGAAACGCCTTCTCATGTAAGGAATTGAGAAGACAGATGAGTAGTGAAATGATTTCAACATTTATCGAGTTCAGTGTCATGATAGTGAGTGTCATGATAGTGACATGAGTTGGATAGTAAACTTTTTGGTGCTTGGACATTTCTAGTATAACAATGGAATTAGTTGCCAATGGTCAATCAAAAAGATAGAAGTAAATTATTTGTGTTTTGTTTGTGTCCAGTACTTTTATGTTAAACTTTGTTTCTTTTCTTGAATAATATGGCTTGAAATGAACACTTCTAAATTTCAGCTTCATCTTTCACAAATCTGATTGTGTTGAAACCTTTTTGGTGGATCTCACTTTATATTTCTAAACAGCCTTTTTATTTCCTTTTTAAGGAGAGAAAGCGATATGAACTGTGTGTAGATCAAATTTATTTATTTATTGCTTTGGGGTTTGAGGTCCAAGTCTGGAACAAGTCTTCTGATTACCTACTTGTTATAAGCTCAAGGATCCTGTACTTCTTCAGTCAATTATCATTTGAAGTATCTTGAAGTTTGACTATTCCATTCCTTGAACTTAATTTTGTTATCCCTTATATGAGTAGGTGACACTGCTATTGTTAAATTTGTTACTCTAGTGAAATTTCTCTGCAACAGAAAAACTCCATTTAATACATACCTATTACATGAAAAAAGAATCCTGATCAGCATCATTGTTGACAGTGCTTTGGAGCTTTTTCTTGTTAAGAGGAAGATAAAGGGACCTTCCTGGCTATCAGTTTCAAAATTCTCCACCTGTCCAGCTCAGCGTGTGAGGCTCAAAATCTGTGGTTGTGTTATCATTTCACTTCTGTCATTCACAGAAGGAAAGTTAGAGTTTTCTTTTACCGCAACAACTTTGATGCATTTTGCAGGTAAGCTGGTGCAAATTTGAGGTTATTGTTGATTGTCCAAAGGATATACAAGTTTCAACTACCTCAAAGAATGTAGCAGAGATTCCTCCAGTGGTTGTCACAGCAATAAATATGAGAACTATTGTCAATGAAAAACAAAATGCGAACGAAATTGTATCTGCATCTATAATCTGCTGTCACAAGGCCAAGGTATATTTGTTATACATGATAATTCATTCGATGTGTTGATTACGGCATCATCAAAATACATGACCTGTCTAGTTATCTGGCCTTGATTCTTTGCCCTGGGGACAAATTTTTGTCCACTCATAGATGTGTGATTAGTGCTGTTGGCTTTTTATTTATTTATTTAATTTGAACAAGTCAGAAGTTACTTTGGAAAAATGTGGACAACATGAAGGCGACTTAGGTGGTTATCTTGTTCTTGAGAAACAAATGAAGTGATTTTGTGATAGATGTATAGAGGTTTACTTGTATTCCCCTGTACATCTGTTCTAGCAGTTTTGGGGTACAGGGTGGTGGCTTTGGGCCAGGAAATTGAGAATTTTTTCTTGGTTGCTGTAGTCTTTATGTGTTTTGCTATGAACTTTTTTTTTTCTGTGGCAATTCTTATCATACAAAACTCCTAAAACCAAGATGGTCAATTTTCTATTTGCCTTCAATGCAGCCACAAAAATGTATGTTTCCTGAAACCACTTAAATCTGTTGTGTGTGCTCCAGTTTAACATCAGTATCAGGACTTGGAATGTGGAGGACATTTTTATGAATGATTGGCTACACTTTTTTGAATCTTTTATCATAGTTTTAGAATAGAGAATTCCATCAAGTATTCCCCCTTGGAGCTATCAAAGGTCAACTAGCTAGCTGCATTGAGAACATGTTCACTTTTTGCATTGTTATATTTTTTTCTGATGCAATTGTTCAACTGGAAACTCATTGGTCCTGGTTTAATCTATATTATTGTAGTATTCTACTAAGGTCAGCTACATGATTGGATCTTTCAGATTGACACTCCCATATTAGCCTCAGAATGGATGAGGCCCGGTATGCTTAGCCATTTTACTGTTGTACGTAAGCTTGATGGGGGCATATTTCCCATGGGATTTGCCAAAGAGATTAATGATAGAAATTCAAAAGCTGGATCAAATATCATCAGTATTGAAAGCAGGCAGGTTTTTGTTATAAATCATGTTTATTTTCATTTCCCTCTTTATCAATTTGTCACTGTCACCTTGGCTGGTGGTGTTATTTGTTTCACTTCCAGTCAATTAAGTGCTGTTTTTCTATTTGCTTTGCTTGATTTGCAGTGAAAGGGCTTTGTTAAACCGTCTGATGATTGAATTACACAAATTAGATAGTGATGTCCTTGTTGGGCACAATATTTCTGGGTTTGATCTTGATGTACTGCTTCACAGAGCCCAGGTGGGAATATCAGTATAGTGCTTTCCTTTCAATAAGTGTGCTAATGCATCGATTCATTTCCTTGTAATTATCTTGTGGTACTAGTAATAGTAGACAACCTAATATCCATTTATGATTTTTTTTAAAAATTATTTATGGTGATAATTATAACACCTTACAGTCAGCTTTGCATCCAGACTAAGAAAAATGGGCTTCAACAGATGACTTTTATATACACTGATAATTGTCTTTACAGTTTTCTTTTATTTTTTAAACATCCTCATTTTATGTTCCAATATTGTTTTGACCATCCTTTTATTCTCCATATACAATTTCCTGTTGAGTGTACATCTGGTGTACATCAAAATGAGATGCCATTGCAACTAAGATGGCCATGCCATGCATCTTTTACTTAAATATGCAGGCTTGCAGGGTCCCTAGCAACATGTGGTCCAAAATAGGCCGTCTGAAGCGCTCTGTGATGCCTAAGCTTACTAAAGGAAGCACAATTTTTGGGTCTGGTGCAAGTCCAGGGATTATGTCTTGCATTGCAGGGAGGCTCTTGTGTGATACATATTTGTGTTCTCGTGATCTATTGAAAGAGGTAAATATTTAGGAGGTTGGTTATCCCACAAGGCATCTGATACCATGTTATGAATTCTCATGCATGAAATCTGCCTCTTTCAGGTCAGTTATTCTTTGACACAACTTGCAAAGACTAGGCTGAACAAAGATCGGAAGGAGATTGCACCGCACGATGTTCACTTGATGTTTCAAAGTTCTGAAACCCTTATGGAACTTGTAGGCTCTTATTCTTTCATTAGTCATTATAATTCTTATTATTGTATTTGACAAACAACATGAAAACACAAGGTTTGACAAGTTGTGGTGGGTTTCAATATTAGTTTGTTAGATCAATAGTATTTTTTTGTGAAAATTGAGACAATTATAAAAGATAGAGAGAGAGAGAGAGAGAGAGAGAGAGAGAGAGAGTTCCATATTTCCTTGTCGAAAGAAAATCATGGTTGCCAAACCAGTAAGGTTGCTGAGGTCAAATACTTTTTGATAATTTCTGCAATAACTTTCCATCATCGTCTTGCCACATTTTAAGGGCAATTGATGTCATGTTTAGATTTTACTAATGATGTCTGCCTTGCCCTCTCTATAGCCGAATATCACGATTCAATTAATCCTTATTGATCAATTGGGCAGATAGAAACATCATCTATCTTCTCAGTTTGGTGATCTGAGGCTCTTTTTCTGAGAAATGGTCAACTCATCTACTTTGTCTACTTAATTGGAAATTTATACTTCCTTTGATGCATCTGCTTAATATGTTTCTCATAATATATTTACTATGTTCAGATTGAATGTAGTGAGACAGATGCATGGTTATCAATGGAGCTTATGTTTCATTTGAGTGTTCTTCCCCTCACACGTCAGCTAACCAATATCAGTGGTAATCTTTGGGGAAAAACTCTCCAGGTGAATTTTCACCACATGCTGAATTATCTACTTTCTTACAAATCTTTTATGGTCTTGACTTGACAAAAGTTGTTTCGTCTAAATATGTGATTTCAGGGTGCTAGAGCGCAGAGAGTAGAATATCTTTTGCTGCATGCATTCCATGCAAAGAAATATATGGTCCCAGACAAGTTTTCTTCTCATCCAAAGGAAACAAAAGTGACAAAACGTAAAGTGAATCACAGTGCTGAGGGCAAAGAAATTGATGATTTGGATGTTGACAATGCGAATTTTGAGAATGATTTACCACACAATGATCATGGTAAAGCTAAGAAAGGACCCTCTTATTTAGGTGGATTGGTCTTGGAGCCAAAAAGAGGATTGTATGACAAGTACGTTTTACTTCTGGACTTCAATAGTCTTTACCCTTCTATCATTCAGGTAAATTAACAAGCTATTCTTGTTTTTGTTTTTGATCTCTTTGTTGAATATCAATTGACAATATTTTATATTTTAAACATTCTGTGCATTCATGCTTTTTTTTTAATTTATTTATTTTTAATTTTTAAAACAGGAATACAATATCTGCTTTACAACTGTTGAGAGATTTCCAGATGGATCAGTTCCTCGTTTACCATCTAGTAAAAAGACTGGGGTTTTACCAGAGGTATTTTGCTGATGTTTATTTTATTTTTTTATGATGATCATGTTGAGGAGATTGGATCTTACTATTGATCACGAAAACATAAAAAATTGGCTGTCTGAGTAGATGCAAGGCAATGTAAAGGATGTAATATCAATTTAAAAGGAAAGGTTCATGTTAGGATTCATAGCTTCAATAAAATCTTGTGTTGTGCAGGAATTTGGCGAGCATCACTAATATTCGTTTGATATATATATATTCTTAGCCAAATAAACATTAAACAACTATGGGGCTTAATGCCATCAATTTGTGGTTATCCAAAATCCAGATTCATAGAATTGCCCATTTGCACTTGAAAAGGCTTTGCTTACCATATGAAATGCCTTCATTCTCTTAACATGCTGCCATTTTAAACCACTGCAAGGGCGCTATGAGTAGTCCGATACGGTTTACCAAAATTTGTTTCCCCCTGCTGAGCTATGTTTTTGGTCACTTGTATATATACAAATTTATCCTTACACTTATTATTATTATTATTATTATTATTATTATTATTATTATTATTATTATTATTTATGTTTCTTCTTTATTTTCGTTTCATATCTTATGTGACATTGTTCTTAGAGACCAGTGAATTCAGACTCTCTGAACTTTGATTGTCTTGACTGAAAAAAAAAATTGCTATTGGATAAGACATGCAATATATGCTTTATATAAAAATATGCACAATAATTTGAGAAGTGTTTGGGTGGCCTAGTTTTTGGAGAAAAGAAATTCATTTTACTCCATTTTGGGGGCTTGTGGAATACACTTCACACAAGGCATTAGTCTTCTTCCTATGCATCATGAGAATGGAATTTGTAGCTACTACCGCTGCACTTATTTTTCAGCAGTTCTAGACGTGCCTTTTTATTTTATTTTATTTTTATTTATTAATCTGTTGAATGCCATAGAGTTTTAGTTGTTTTCTTTCAGGAAAATGCAATGCTCATCGTGTTCCTTGCATTTGAGCTTCTTTCTTTTTTTTGTTCCACACTAGGCTCTGTTTTTTATTTTTTATTTTGACGAAGTTCATTGGTTTAGTCAGTCAAAGAATGGTGAGTGGATTTATTTAATTTGTTAATTCACATACTCTATTGTAGTTGCTGAAAAATTTGGTTGAGAGAAGGAGAATGGTGAAGTCATGGCTAAAGAACGCATCTGGTCTTAAGGTCCAGCAGCTTGACATACAACAGCAAGCACTGAAACTCACTGCAAACAGGTTTCTGTTTCACTTGGCTTGCATTTTCTTTTGCTTCTCATTGTAACTCAGTGTAGCTCTTGTTTGTTGTGTCAGTGATTACTCTTTTTTAATTTTTTCCCCACCTGCAGTATGTATGGTTGCCTGGGTTTTTCCAATTCCAGATTCTATGCAAAACCGCTTGCAGAGCTGATAACACTACAAGTAGGACTTTTAATTTGATGCTGATAATTAACTTTGCTTAAGTCCGCAGATTTTGGCTGAATGTTGTTTTCTTGTTTTAGTTTCAAGCAACTTACATCATTGTTGTGCAGGGAAGGGAGATCCTACAAAGTACTGTTGATCTAGTTCAGACTAATTTAAACTTAGAGGTTATTTCTTAAATGCTGAGATTCATATTTTTTTAATGTATTATTTCAACTCGCGTCTCCTTTTCCTGATTTCAGTCATCAAAATACTTTGGCTTCTAAATCATGTATTGTATTCCACCTGGCAGGTGATCTATGGTGATACAGATTCAATTATGATTTATAGTGGACTTGATGATGTTGCAAAATGTAAGGCGATTGCAGGGAAGGTCATCCAAGAGGTGAGATTTGGTTGTAAATTGAAATTCATTGCATTATTTTCTTTTATTTTTATTTTTTTCCTCTAATCGAACAAACAGATTCAAGGTAGGTAGGTAGTCAGCAAATAATTTACTGAACTAAAATTGAATTTCCTGATCTTTCCATTTGTGCTTTACTAAAATTGAATCACTTGATTTTTCCATTTTGTGATTTAAACGCTGAACATAGCATCCATTGCTCACCAAGGTTGCAATTTCTTCATTATCCCCTTGGCACATGGTCATACTTAAAATTCAACTCATACCCAGAAATATGATTTAAAAAACCCAGCACTTGCATTTTTTGACCTCCAGGAAAAAGAACACATTTATAATTCACACACACACAACAAAAAAAAAAAAAAATGAAATGAGGGTTTAGGTAATCTAAAGAGAATATTTGGACCTCTTGTTCTCTATAGGACATGTTTTCTGTGAAACTGGATATACTCTTTCAAAAACGTTATGATGAATTTCTTTTTGCAATGGATGTTTGAAGTCTCTCCTATCTCTTTGGTTTTAGGTCAACAAAAAATATAGGTGTTTAGAAATTGACCTAGATGGCTTGTACAAGAGAATGCTGCTTCTCAAGAAAAAGAAATATGCAGCTGTCAAAGTGCAGTTTAAGGATGGAACACCATATGAGGTAGATTTTTAAACTATTTATTTTTCTTGGACTTTTTGAACTTGTTCAAAATATGTATTCTCAGTGTATGTTGGTGAATTGCATTCTTGGAGCAGGTTATTGAACGGAAAGGTCTTGATATGGTTCGTCGTGACTGGAGCTTGCTATCAAAGGAACTGGGAGATTTCTGCCTAAGTCAAATACTCTCCGGAGGGTATATATATGCATCTATTACTTCTGTGTGTGTGTGTGAGTGGTTGACTGGTAATTCAAGCAAAATCTCTGTTACTTCTCCAAGCCTCATCATTTGCATTGCTCTTCTGCTTACAGGTCATGTGAGGATGTTGTTGAATCAATACACAGTGCTCTCATGAAGGTAAGACCATGATAATGTGCTTACTCATTTTTTATGGTTTTTGGTGCTACTTTGCTGCATGACTATCAACTGCCCAACAATTGTGATCCAAGGCCATAGCCCACACCGACATTTCAAAACAAGTGCAGTATCCGTGTCAGACACTTAGGGACACACAGTCACTTCGGGTATATGTCTGGGACACACCACATGGTGTATCTCCTTATTTAATTAATTTAATTATGTCGGGACGCTTCGGGGACACACTTGGGACATGCCAAGTTGTCTTTCTCCCCATGTTATTTAGTGCTTTTGATGAATGGTGAATGTTTATTATTTTTTTCTTAGATTTAAGTATTTAATAGATCATCCATAAAAAAATAGATATAAACTATAAGTGTTAATTTAAAAAGATAGAATTATAGTTAGTTTTTATTAATATTGATTGTTTGTGGATGTAATATTAATCTAGATAGCAAATAAAAATATATGAAAACATATTTTATTGCTGTGTCCGTGTCTTCATTTTTTTGAAATTGTCGTGTCCCTTGTCCACATCCATGTCTGCATTTGTATCCGAGCTTCGTAGCCACAGAATAGGTGCTTTCAGATTTTCAAAAATGCCTTTGATTGTGTTTGTTAACTCCGGATAGCTGCTTAAGATTTTCAAAATGCCTTTATCTATAGCATTTGTGACCTAATCATCTTTTGCAGTCGGCTAGAATACCTTATTTGTTTGCTGTAGTACAGGTTGAATTTGCTAGCAAAGTCATGCTCCAAAACTAGGCATTTATCAATTGTAGAATTTAGTGGTCTCACTATCTGTGCAAGTTAAACAGGTACAAGAGGATATGAGGAATGGACAAATAGCACTAGAGAAATATGTCATCACAAAGTCGTTAACTAAACCGCCAGAAGCCTACCCAGATGGCAAAAACCAACCTCATGTTGAAGTAAGTCCTGGAAACTACTTTGATCTCGTTTGGAACCATCCTTCTTCCTTTTATTTTTTCCCCCTTCACTTCCACTTTATCTGGCTAACATTGACTTGTGCATGGGTCATTTTCCAGGTTGCACTTAGACTGAAGGGAAGTGGTTACTCCACTGGTTGCTCTGCCGGTGATACAGTTCCTTATGTAATTTGCTGCGAGCAGGTGTGTTGTGAAAGTTTTTTTTTTTGTGTCTGTTTTCTGCCTAATAATTGTCACTAAACCTCTACCATATTGTGGTTCTCACAAAATTGAAACAATGTTTGATGACCATGTTTTCATTCATTTTTGTCAATAGGGGGCTGGTTCAGGTACTTCCGTAGGGATTGCTCAGCGGGCAAGACATCCTGATGAATTGAAAAGAGACAATGAAAAATGGATGATTGACATTGATTATTACCTGTCACAGCAGGTTGGGCTTTCTATACAATTGATCTGTAGTGACTAATGCTAGGTTTGTACTTAGTGTCACTTTCATGTCTCACCTTGATTAAAAGCATTGGTTTATTATGAACAGATTCATCCTGTTGTATCACGTCTGTGTGCGTCAATTCAAGGTACGAGCCCAGCACGTTTGGCTGACTGTTTAGGGCTTGACTCATCCAAGGTAAATAACATGTTCTCATGCTTGTGTCATATTCACTTCACTAATTGTTGCCATGGTATCTATAATTAACATTGCAAACAACTGATTCTCAGTTTCAAAGTAAATCAAGTGAAGGTGTCAATAATGATTCTTCCAACTTACTATTGTGTGCGGTGGATGATGATGAGAGGTAATCCTTTCTTATCTATGAGGTGCTGTATTTGCTCTTCATATGAACGTTTTTCTGCAAATCTCCAAATCCTTGCAACAATGCCCAGATTTCTTATCCATATATATATTAAAAAAAAAAAAGCTGTCTGAATAATAAACATGGAATTATTTTTGTAACTACCTGAATGGTCCAAGCATCCAGCACTGATTAGGTTCATTTTTACCTTCCCCCCCTTCATTCCAGTATCTTCTCCACTTGTCTTACTATTTTTTTTCCCATTCACGCTCTTCTTTCTTTCTTTCTTTCTTTTTTTTGGAATGCCATTCCAACAATTTCTTAAATTCACTTCCAAAAAAAAAAAAAAAAAAAAATCTTAAATTCTGATTATGTACTGAATTTTATGCAAATGTATTAGTATAGTTGTTTTTTTTCCCCTGATTTAAGAATATAATGATGGATGCTTGAGTTGAACTGAATTGCAGATATGGAGGTTGTGAGCCTTTGCATTTGTCATGTCCCAGTTGTTCTAGTACATTTGACTGTCCAGCCGTGTTTACTTCTGTACGTACATTAATCAACGAAAAACAAACAGACTCACATGCAGGAGGGGAATCCTCTCAAAATTTCTGGGGCAATTTGCGTTGTCCTAAATGCCCAGAGGAAGGTGATTTGGGCAGAATGTCTTCAGCACTGATAGCCAATCAGGTATCTATTGAATTATGCTATTTTGAACAAGTAGATTTGTTTCCTTAGAGAATCTAGTTCAATTATTATCCAGTCCACCTACAAAGGTGGTGTTTGGGAAGTTCGTGTGTTGGGTTTTTTTTTATTTTTTTCACTAAAAGACACTTTTTTTCAACAAAAAAAAAAAATAAATAAATAAATCCAAACAAAATATCACATCTAACTCCATAATCATTTCATTTTTTCTCTCACAAATATCAATCCAACCACAAAAAAAACCGACTATCTTCTCAAACACCAAAATTTTTTTATTCAATAATATCCTACAACTAAAAAAACCCGACATAAAAACACACTTCCCAAACATCCACAAAGTCTAATTGTTTATTTATTTATTATGATCAGATTTGATTCCAGACTGTTTTATGCTATAAGCTTCAATAATGTAGAATTTTTAAGGGCACTAAGATTAAGATTTTGAATTATAAGATCTTGATGCACTTGATTGAGATTCGTTATGCTGTCAACAATTTCTTAACACGGGCCTATTTAGAGGTCATTTTGCATCGCCTCTAGTTCACAAGGTTTCTTATTATACTGCTCGGAAATGCATATATTGGGTTTGAGGTTGATTATCTGCCAACATCTGTTAGGTCAAGAGGCAAGCAGAAGGGTTCATTTCAACATACTACAAAGGTTTAATGACGGTATGTGTTATGGATCATCGTGCTGCAGTAGTAATTTACGAGTCCAGCGACAATTTTTGATTTGACTAGTTGGTGAATTTTGTGTTCAGTGTGATGATGAAACTTGCAAGTACACAACTCGTAGTCTGAACTTGCGGGTAATTGGTGATTCTGAAAGAGGAACAGTTTGTCCCAATTATCCTCGTTGTAATGGGCATCTCATAAGAAAGGTTTTCACCTCTTTTGCATTAAGTTCAAACTATATAGTCCTAGAATTTCTTCTGTTGTTTATTTACTCTTAAATTCTCTAAAACATATTCCTGGCATTATTAGTACACGGAAGCGGATCTGTACAAACAGCTTACTTATTTCTGCCATGTCTTGGATACCGTACGCTGTATTGACAAGGTTAGTATCTTTCATCAGTTAGCTCTATTATCTGCCTGTACTATTTGGGCTTAACCATAAGAATAGAATAGCCCTACAGAATTTTTGTACAAAATGATGTGACTAAATGAGAACAGAAAACCAATCAAGATCAGGGCCTTTTCCAATTCCTTCTACGTCACAGGGTTGAAACTAAGAAAAATAATTGTTGCTTTCTCATTATTTAATAAAAAATAAATCCTTGGCTTTTAATTGCAAAATTGTCACCCCACATTCCGGAGAATTTTTCAAATAATAGTACTTTGACCTTGTCATGTTATTGGGAGTTTCAGGTGGAGCAAAACATCAGGATACCAGTAGAAAAGGAGCTTGCAAGAATCCGGCCACTCGTTGATTTGGCAGCATCAACAGCACAAAGGATCCGTGACCGATGTGCCTTTGGGTGGGTGCAGCTGAAGGATCTCATCGTCACAATTTGACCGCTTAATGTAACATAAAGACGTTGATATGATTCTTTTACACGGTTTTGTAAATATTGGACGAAAATTAACTAACCATTGGCCACCATAGTGAGTTTTCATTTATTTCATTGATTACTACAAATCCAAGGCCAGCAATGCTTTGTAAGTGAAGTGTGACAGAACAAAGCATATCCCTCGTTTCCTATTCTCTGAGGCTATCATTCCTTCCCTCCAACCCTATAAATTTCCAGGGCTTTGTCACCCAATTTGGTGATGGTTATGGTGGCCATGAAATGAAATGTGTTTCTTATTTGTTGGCTTGGATTACTGGCATAGGTGGTGTTTTCTCGTGTAGTGTGTGGTCTTTTCAGGTCTGGCAATCTGGTTCCTTGTGCATGTCTGGACTTGATTTTGAGAAATTTGATATGGATAATATATTGACTGTCAGTGTGATTATCTGAACTAGCATGAGGTTGAAGCTGATGCTAATTTCAAGGATGCAAATCTTTCTAGGTTATTTGAGTTTGATTTATGTTTGACTTGTGAAAGTTTGTTCTTGATATAGGCTTATTAATGTAAATAAGTAGTTTCAATATGTTTTGAAACTAGTTAATTTTTTCAACTCAACTTGGTAAGTTTTTATGCTAGAGACCTATATAAAAAACTTGTTCATGACGAGCTTCATCAAATGCATCTTTTGCTATGAGTCCAATCAATGAGAACTGGATGGCAAACTGTTTTAATTGCTTCTGAAGCTATTGCTTGTAACACCATCCATTGGCTACTTAATAGTCGTGTAAGAATATTTTAAGCAAACGTTATAATTTATTATTCATATCATTACTGTTGCTATTATTGTTTACTAGACAACAAGATGAAACAAATCACAGTTATTGAAAATCACAAGTGTTTATCTATCAATCTAAATTGAAATGTGTATAAAATCCTGATTTTGCTTGAAGAAGCTCCCCCAACTGCAGTGAAATCATCACTTCCATACGATTCCATAATGTAAATTGTCCATTGCGCCCTCCTCATTGCAACTCCCCAACAGGTGCCTCATTGAGCCATAGGAAATGAATGAAGTCGTACAACTTTGCACTTACACTAACCTGCACAGGAATATTGTAGAACATACATAAATGAGTCATGCAACCAAGATATTTTTTTATTTTTGGTCGTGATCTCTATTTGAGGAACACGAATTTTGGCCACTGGGCTAACCTCTGATGAAAACTCTTGCTCCTAATGAGGTTTAGGGTTCAAATCTTGTTGCAGTCAAGAATCTCTCCCAAGTTATGGATTCCGGGTTTACCAAATAAAAAAAATCTAGAGATTTATTTTTAATACCTTGTAAGGTGTTGGATTCAATCTCCTCACGTGGTCAGGTCGCATTTGTTCCAGCTGGTTACTACAACGGCTCCTAATCATTTTAAGCGGTGGTAGTTCTTCTCGTGGTTTATCTTCAAGAGGCAACAAGAAGGTTAAGTGGTAAGCAAAATGAATAATCTGTCGCAAACTGTTTGAACAAGGTATATTATTTATTGTTAAGAAAATTCTTATAAAACAAATTTTCATCTCCCAAATTAAAAATAAATAAATAAAATTGTTAACTATGTAATCTATTACTGCAAACATTTAACTTCAGAGATATGGAGACAAGTAAAATAAGACGGTTAAGTAAATGAATAAAAGATCAAAAAAATGGCCATGTTAATAAATAAGATAGGCTGTGTTTGGATCTTGGATTTGGGAAAACATTTGGAGAGGTAAAAGAAAATTATAAGGAAATGTGGAAAATCTGATACATCCAACTCACACAACACATTGTTTCTGCTACTAGAAATATAATGATTATAATAAAAGCACAAAATTATGCATTTAGTAGTTCGAAGATCTAAGTTCAATATGCTCAAACTCTCACCTGGGCTCCCTGGCCAAAAACATTTCAGAAGCTCCTCAACACGCTGTGGCACCACATATGCTCTCTTCGATTCATTAAATGGGTGGCGACACAGAATCCGTTCTGCCACCTGCAAAATAAAATGACACAGATCTGTTTATAACTCAATTTAAGAAGTTGCTATATAAACCCCTGAATAACAAGCACTTAACAGGGTACAAGGACGAGTCAGAACTCAATAGTTCACGATGGTAACAAACTGAGAGAAGACTGCAGTTTATGCAACTAAGGAAGCTTTCCAAGTTTGAAGATGAATCAGGAACATTGGTTGTATGGGTTGATTATCCTGCATAACCGTATATGATCCCTCTAGTCTCTACTAACCATATATTCCACAAGTACACACATGCATGTATCTATTTTTGTGTATCTACATTCGATATATGAAAGAACTTGATATGTGAAGGGCCCAACAATACATATTAAGTTCTCACACACACTCTCACTAATGTAATCTCCTCTTACATGTAAAGAGCCATCCTAACATACGAACTAAAGTGCAGAGTAACGGATATAATGTCATACAAAAACATACAAGGAAACTATGGACCTTTTAGAACTGAAGTAGTAATACCATGTTAACCAATTGCCCCCAAAAGCTGAATAGGAAATGACCAAGATGATGCATATGAACCTCTCTTGCATGCAAACGGATATTGATTTCATTCTATAACTACATAAAACAGATGCATAAGCAGTCATTTAATCATATGTTCCAGCTTCTGACATATAGAGTCCCATTCAAATGTTTATTGCCCATGCAATGTCTAAAATAACTCTAGAACTTTCAAAGGTGCAAAGGTAAAAATTGACAGTTTCTCAGTAACTAATAGAAATTCTTTTCTAATCTGAAATTGAAATCAATTATTATTTTCTTAGCCAAATTTTTAGATAGTTTGGCGAAATGTAGATCCCACCCAGAAGTATGAAATTCTATGACAGGGTAGTGGGTGAGGTACTTCTTGTACTAGCCAAAACTCATCAGCTTTCCTGAATTTGTGGTGCACATCTCAGATAATCGGGAGAAAATAAAAAAATGCGAAATATCTAAATGTAATATCCACAGAGATATTAATAGGTACAAAGCATGCAGATGAAATACCTTTGGAGGTGGCTCATTTTCTCCAGTCATTATATCTACAAGTGGGTAACCTTCTTTCCCATACAATCTGTAACACCGTTTTTTACATGGAATAGAGACCTAAAACCACAAATAGTCAACCTTTATGATATAAAAGATAAGGCCACTGAAATAATTCATTGCATGATCAAACCTTTGAAACATCTTCAGAAAGTTTGATACGAGGCTGATTATTTATTTCAACAAGCTTGAAAACACAACCTAAAGCTGCTTGAGCATAACACGTAACCAGATACGTTCCAATTCCGAATGAATCAACTTCATGACCCTGTGGAGGAAAAAAATCACTTGAATACAAATATTTAAGTCCATAACTAAACCTTCTGACAATCAATAAACAGAAAAAAGGAAAACATGATGGAACCATTAAACTAGAGATATTTACCTGTTTGTTCAAAGCATCTAAAGTTTCCTCGTTGAGGTCATTACTTGCAGTAATACCCATCTTTCCAAAATCTGGCACTCTGAATTCCTTCTCAATAGTGCGAAAGAACTTTCGGGACTCACAAGACAAATACGCGAGGTCGCCAGAATCTAACCTAATGCCTATTGCTTTATACCTGCACATTACATAAACTATACAGTTAAAAGAATAATAATAATAATAAATAATTGCAAGTCCTGAAGATAAAAAAATAATGGTAATGAGGGGAGGAGAGTTGTAATATGGAAAAGATAATGTAAACAACAATGCTCAAATCTTGGAGGAAAATGGCCAAACAAAGAAAGCGGCACATTGGCAAAAAGTGTTTATAGACAAACTGTAATATGTATAGCAATGTCACTAAGAAAAACATTATATTGTTATATTATGAGCTATTGCAAAGTTTAGGTACTTCATCAACATGAATATGTTTTGCAGAATTGTGCTAATACAACATTCATCTTTTCACACCAATCAAATAACTACAAAATAAAATGGGATCATTATGAATTATATTTATAGTGTGCATTAGCTTCTAGCAACATGCAATACTCTTACATTAATTCTGATAGGCATTTTTACAGGTTGCTCAAATTATGTGATACTGTAGAATGTAGTCCATGGGGAGCAGGAAAAGAACAGAAACATCAGAACAGATAACGAAACACATCTCAATTGAACAAGTAATTCAAACCTCACAAACCACGGTACAAACATTTGTATTAAGTTTAATTATAATTATTTTCCATAAGATGTTTACTTCATAAAAGTAACAAGGCCCTGAGTTAACAATAGTTAATTGGTAACTTTAGTTATTAAATTATACAGGCAACCTACTACAGCAAGAGTATCACTGCTAATACTAAGCATCACCTCACCACAATCACTATAGTATAAATGCTTACACCCTCCATTTTGAGTTGGTAATGAGGATTGTTTTTTGAAAAAAAATGCACACATTTCAAACAAAATACACTAGATACGATATCTCAAGCATGAAGAGAAACAGGAAAAAATTGGTATCACATCAAAAACCGTGTTCACACAAAGCAATGATGCCTATACAAGCATAGAACTTCTGCACATACCCCAAATCATTGAGGGCTAGAGCAACTGCACAAAAATTAGGAATCCCACTTCGCATAACCTGGTAAAATGAAATGAATGTTGTTATACTAAAGAAAACAAAGATTGATATTAGCGCACCAATATGAAGAAAGTATGGCTTGCACAAAAGTGAAATTGTACTATGCTCATGAATAAACAAAACGAAGTAACATTATCTCACTTCCAATCTGAAGCAACATAAAGCAAATGTTAAGATATTGAATATTAATACTGAAAGAATGACCACAAATTATTTAGTTTGACTGCTAGCAGAAATTTTTTTTTTTTAATTATTTTAGTTGTTTTTTTTTTTTTTTTTTTGATAAGTAAGCAAATATTATTAAAAAGCATCAAGATGATGCAACCAATACAAAAAAACCACCCCAGAAAGGGGAACCAATAAAACAAGGGCTAACCAATCACCTCATCTAAAAAATCTAAAAACACAAATAAATCCGGATTTACCCTACCCTCCAACCAACTATACAAAACTAGAAGAAGACGACTTTGACTGCTAGCAGAATATGTGATGCTAATGGCAAGATTCATGCTATAAACATTGGGTTATTTTTGGTAGACTTTTATAAATGAGATTCTTTATCATATGATTATGATCAGACTCTGATGTTCACATTTTTCCTTCAAAAGGAAAATTTAACAAGATAACAAAGGCGGCAAAGCCCAAGTACAAAAGAGGTATACAAAAAGGCAAAGAAAGCCAAAGCTATCAACAAAATTGAACATGCCAATTAAGTCACAAAATGAAGATTTCCTAACAGATCCCAACAAAGAAACAAAACTCAGACTAAGAGAATGTCTTCCAGCTTATAGTTGTTTTGTAGATCAGCAACTAATTTTATATAGGGTGCTCATGGTTTATCTAGGGAAAGCTTAAACCCATCAGAGATACCAAACTATCATGGGGGTGGTGTTGGATATTTTAAGGAAATAACCCAAGTACCCACCAATCAATAAATGATCAATACCCTGAATTAAATAGCAGATCTCTAGAGTTTATCAGATAAAATTAAGAGAAACTGAAGTTAGATAATGAACTTACAATCTTGTGCACCCTATCTAACCAAAATTTAGATGAAATGAACAAACTTAACACAATTATTAGGTCAAAAAATGTGTAGGCCAAGCATTGCAAAAAAAAATTAGTTTCACATTACAGATCAAATTTTTGGTAATAAAAACAAAGTATAGACAAAAGATTTAGGTATCCAGAAGATAAGAATAAAATGTCATGCCAACTATTAGAAGGTTAATCTAAAAAGCTCATACTTACGTCGTATGTGTCTACAAGAGCAAGAAAATTGTTGGGGAATGCAAGGGCATATGAAGTAAAAGCTGCTAACTCGCTCTGATTCGTCTCACCAAAAATGCCGCGTAATACATGTGACCGCTGAAAAAGTATTCACAAACAGAAAAATTAGAAAATGGAAAAAAGAAACACATCTGAAGGGAATAGACATAAAAGAGTAATTGAGTTCAAGTTTGTCATGGCTCTAACAAAATTTATTTAAAATCCTATTGTAGAGGCCAGAAAATCTTCTCAAAAGTAGACATTACAAAGGTCCTGTTATAAAGCACACAAATAAATTGATAATATTTACATTCAAGACGCTTAAAAACGCATGCCTATCTGAATTGAAAGTCTACTTTTTTCATTTACAATGGAGAGAAAAGTTAAAGTTTATTTGTCATCACATGAAAACAAAGCAGTGGTTATTTATATGTTTACATGGTCTTGGGCAGGTGTTAGATGAGGTTATGTGTCTATATGTCAGATTTATCCAATTCTCATGTCAAGGACACCAGAACACAGCTAGATTTCATATTTCTTAAATACTTTTATATTTAAGGGTAAAATGATGTTTACAAACTAAATAAAGCATTTTATGTATAAAATGGACGTTTTACTCTTAATTATATACTAAACTCGACTACTTGTACATATATATTGGGTGCATGTCCAACTAAGTATATCATACACATATCTCATACCCTTACCCAAGTGTCAACTGTCTAACATCGGTATTTCACAAATTTTGAAGAGTCTGACATCTTTAGATGATATATTGACAAAATAAATTAATTAGCAAGAAAGAAAAACTGCGCTACTAGACTTTCAAAGAAGGGTGATCGCCAAGATCATTCACAAATCAATTCTTTTTCTGTTCTTCTATGTCTTAAGCCTTAGTATGCAGTTCCAAACCTTAGAGAACATCCTAAGGAAATCTTTCACAGGCATGGCCGTGTATGTGGCAATGTGGAACTTTTTCAGGATTGGAATGAATATGTGGTGTGGAAATACCCATGGGTGGATATCTTAGAATATATTTATATATATATATATATGAAGAGTCACTTACATTCATTAATAATTCCAATGCCCAAGAAAATGGTCAATTGGAATAAGAAACACTTTGTTAGAAAATAGAATTACAGAACTCAAGGTTGCCTTGCATGAATATGCAACTTTGGCATTCATACTATCTAGCACCACATTTGTCTGGTCTTTTAACAAACTAGAATCACATGAACTTATACCAATGTATTATCATACAAGATAAGAATTTTCATTTTAGTTCTAAGGCAAGCATGGACATTCTCAGTGTTCCAGTGCATGGGTTCAAAATTACTGTTTGCATTATCATAGTTTGCATTGCACATAAAAAATTATTGCACTCTTTATTACATGTCTTGCATAGTGTGCTAGCTCAACTAAATGGTTACCTGCAAAGGTAGTCTCAAAAGCAGAAAAGTAATCCAGAACAGAATGAGAAGTGACAAATGGAAATATCATAAAGTGAAAGCCACTTGAGCTCAAAAGCACACAGTAGCTCAAATCATATTTACTTTTGCCCAAGGTTTCGAAAAGCGGTTGCGGTCATGGTAATGGTTGCGGTGGCGCGGTTGCGGTTGCAGGGTGTGTAAAGGCTGTAGCGTAACAGTTGCGGTAACCAGAATGGTGAATTTTTTAATTTTTTGCACAATTTGAAAAAAACTTACCAATATACATTTTTTTCTTCAAAATCACATTTATTAAGGTTTAAAATAGATTTTAATCAATTTTTGTTAGTTTTTAAGTATGATCTAATATATCTCATATTTTTAAATTACTATAAAATGAGCTTTGTACATTTTATTTCAATAGTTAATGACAATAATTGATTTTAAATGTCTATAAAATTATTTTTGACCAACACCTGAACTAACTGAATAAAAAATATTTACAATTATTAAATGAAATGATTATAAAAAAAAATTGTGCCATAAACAAAAAATATTTTTGAACTAATGATTTTTTTTTAAAAGACATTTTTTTAGACAACACTTTACAGTTAACTAAATAAAATTATTTACAATTAAGTATTAAATAAAATGATTATAAAAATAAAAATTGTGCCATAAACAAAAATTATTTTTGAGTTGCTAAATTTTTTTTAAAAGATATTTTTTAGACGACACATTATAGTAATAAAATAAAAAAAATTATAATTAAATATTAAACGAAATGATTATAACAATAAATACAATCACTGTTTATATATTTTTTATTTTACATGCAAATGTAATAAAATAAAAATTAAAAAATAAATTATAAAGAAAAAAATTCATATAAAAATTTTTCTTTGGATTTGGATCACTTGAGTATTTGTTCTTTTTTTGTAAGATTTTTTTTTTTTTTTTGAAAGAAAACTAATTAGAATATTGTAATGGTGTGTAATGAGCCGTAACAGTATCGCTATGGCTGTTATGTAACATCGAAACGGCCGTTATAAATTTCCATCACATCGCAAAAGCGGGTGTAACGGGTAATGCTTACCACCGCAACCGTTACGTAACACCGCTTTTTGAATTCTTGCTTTTGTGTTTAGCTAATAGCTACAGATGAAGTATTACACAGATATTTAAGAATAATGAGAACAATTGCTGGATAAACCATGTGTTAGTGAATCTAAGATGAAAGAAGAAATTGATAAAGCAATTGGGTAAAAGCCAGGGCACCTTTATTTTGCTTAACCATGTCTGCACCAGACTAACAAAATCCTCACAAGTACTTGAACCATCACGAGTTTGAAGTGATTTCTCCATGATCTCATCAGGGCTCTGCAGATCACTGGATTAATTAAACTCATGTGACAGGGAGTATGAACCCTAATAGAACAACAAAGACAGAAAATGGTGTTCCTCTTTCCTTTTCCTGAATTGTTGAAAATATAATATCCAGTGGGTTGAATGACACATTTGGCCAGTGTCTGTCTAGGATAAAGCATTTGTTTATAAGATACGCCTAATAAATGTCAAGCTTTTGTATGAAAATTTCTTGCAAGCTATACACCTACCATGAATGAGCTAACAAATGCATGGGAATGTGTTCCACGGACTGGTATTCCAAATAACCTCCCAGCTTCAACATTGCTGTCAACACAACCCAACAAGTAAAATGAGCCACACTGAAATCTACTTTGATCAAGCAGTTGATGGAAAACAATAAGAAGGATTATAAGGTTTAGTCATCCCAAAATCACTCACAGAGGGCAATGCACACCTGTTGGGTTTTAAGACATTAAAACATACGCTACAGTGCTAAGTTAGGAGATCAGTAGTGAAAGTTTTCCAAGGGACAAAAATTTACAAATCTATGCAGAATGAAAGATACCACAACAAATCTTGATTTAAGGAGCAGGAAGGATTTGCCTCTATCAACATGACAATGGTAAAATTAAACAGGCGACCAATTAAAAAAACACACACACACCCCTAGAGTTACATTTGAAGCAAAAACTAGTAGCAAAACACATGCACAAAACATATTAAGGAGGAGAACCAACAATAGCTTAAGTTGTATGGCCTTGCAGATCAATGTTAAATTATTTAATTAATTATTACTTAAAGAATGGTCACAAGTTATGGTGTTAGCCTAAGTAGCATAGACATGGGCACGCTGATAAAAATTTATATTTTTATAAATTTATTACATGTCAAAATTTTATTTTATTTTTGATAAACAAATATTATATGTCAATTTTATAAATAATTTATTCAAAGGTAATGAAAAAAGCAACATAACACTAATAAAAATTAAAAAGCCACATTTCAAAATTTAAACGTCAAGATATAATTCATGTAACAATTCCATTCTAAAAAATGCAAAACAATTGTAAAACATTAAAATTAAAAGTGTACTAACACATTCATTATAAAATAACACAAAACATTATTACTATAAAGAGATTCATCACAAAGGTCGTGTTCGGAGAGTTCAAGAAGTGTTGCCGAAGTGTCCGATATTATGAATTTAAAATTTTAATTAAGACACATTGAAGAGGTGTCAAACACACTTTTAGGAGTGCCTGCAGAGTGTCGTGTCTAACATGACACCCCTCATCCATAGAAGTGTCCATACTAATTAGATTTTAGCATTTGACTGCTAGCAGAATATGTGATGCTAATAGCAAGATTCATGCTATAAATATTGTTATTTTTTAAAAGTGATTTTTTCCTTGATAGAACATTTAACTAGATAACAAAGGCGATAAAGCCCACGCACAAAAGAGGTATACAAAAAGGCAAAGAAAGCCAAAGATTTTAACAAAATGGAGCATGTCAATTAAGTCACAGAATGAAGATTGCCTGAAAGCTCCGAAAGAAGAACCAAAAACTAAGAGAATGTCTTCCAGCTTTAGGTCAAGACTCAAGCTTACATTAATAGCTCCCCCAAACAAAGAGAATGTCTTCCAGCTTTAGGTCAAGACTCAAGCTTACATTAATAGCTCCCCCATTAAAGCAATTGTTGGACTAAAGTAAATTGAGAGCTCTTCCATTCTCATACACGTGTGGCAACAGAAGCAGGGGAAAAAGGGAGAGAAGGTAGGATGACTTAAAGAATACTCCATCACAGAATCAAGCTTCCTGAATATAATTAATTATGCAAAACAAGTTGGCCACTTTATTTGATGTTTCAAACCATTGCATTGGACTATTCTGCATTATTATTATTATTTTAAATAAATAAATAAATAACAGTGGCCCATTTATCTGAAAAGAAAATCCATTTCTTTTTTCTTTTATATATTTTAAATGTGCATTCTATGAGCCTGTACTCTGGCGCTGCCTAGGCGCCAAAGGCAAGCATTACCTTGACTAAAAAGAGGGTGGTAGCATTTCACCCTTAATTCAGTCCATTGTAAGTAGGCAGGTAGGTGGAATAATCCTCCCTGTTAACCATATATTCCAAATTTTGAGTAGATTCAGAATCTAAATCAATCCCAAATTCACAAATAAAGCGAAATTGATTTAAAGCCACACTCAATTAAAAAAAATAATAATTAATTAATCTAGATAAAGATCAACCTGGAAAGGTCGTTTTAGAAATTAATTTCTGACCAATAAAGTAAACAGCATCCAACACAACAAGTGATATGAAATCCCAAATGAATAAGATTCTTAACCACAGCTTTGAAGTGATAATTTAATATTCAAACAGGAATCACCTTGTTGCATCAAATCCTCCAAGATAACTGTACTTTGATGCCCCTATTCCACCATCGGGCCCCTAAATGTGAAAAAAAAGGTACAGAATATATTGAAAATGAATACCCTGATAAGTTATTCAAATCAAAGAGAAACCTCAACAACCTGCGCTCGTCGAAGCCCAAACTCAAGTAGAATTTTTGACTTTCCAGCAACAGAACGATGCCTTGCAGCATTTGTGGTAACTAGTGATGCATAATTTATAAGATTCAAAAATGAAGTTTCCAGCAGTTGAACCACCTGAAAGAACAGAAAACAAAAAGGTCATAAGATGTATCATGATGATGATGAAGAATATTAGCAACATTTAAAATGGTTTCTAAGTTTAACATTGAACAAAGAGAAAGCTTTGTAGGTATTCATTCATCAGAGCATAACAACAATTCTCCAACAATCATCACGTAGAAAGGAGAAGTGAATAGGTACTCACAGCAATTGGCCCTTCAACTCTCATGAGAGGTACCTTCGGGAAAACGACAGAACCCTCCGAAACAGCATATACTTCAACATCAGAACAATCAATTCCTCGAAGATAATCATAGAAGCCATCCTATAGTTCATCAATCAGCACTGATTAGCAAAACACTTATACAGGTAGATTAGAACTACAAGTCATGGATTAATAAAGTATGAACAGCAGCATAATATCTCATAAATTGTTTTAAAGTACCAGCAGAAAAAACACATTTTCTAGCATAGGATAATTTTAGTAAACAGGTGTCTGATTGGTGAGAATGCAACTGGACGAAATAGTTAGCATATAGGAAAACTTAGGCCGTGTTTGGTTTGTATTTGTGAAACAATTTTGAAAAATAATTTTTGGAAAGAGTTTACAAAATTTAAAAATTTGTTTGGTTGTATGTTTTGAAAATAGTTTTGGAGTTTGGAAAGATTTAATTTTAATTTTTTTTTTTTTGTAGTTGAATAGATTTGTATGAGAGAAAAAGTGATTGATTGATGTGTAGGATGTGAGAGAATGAGAGAGGAGAGAGAAAAAGTGATTGATTGATGTACAGTAGGGAGAATTGATTTTGGATTTTTTTTTTTAAAACATTTTCAACCAAACAAATTTTTGAACTTTTTTCTAAAAAATTGTCTCTCAAGAGACAAACCAAACAAGGCCTTATATTTGATTTCTTCTTGTATTCATAATTCTGCATCTCGCTCACTCCAGAATATGCATAATTCTCAAAATGACAATGTTTCCACAAACTCGTCAGACTAATACAAGAATGTATTAAGACAGGTCAACAACCACATCCATTTTGTACCTGACATACATCCCAGCATTGTGCAAGAATCACTCGTTTAAAATTCTCTCAAGTGTTAGCTTATTGTTTAGACATCACATATTATTAGATTGTAGTTACTTTTAGGTTGCTACTTTCAACTGTATATATGCCCATAAATATGCGTTTACAGCAATGTCCAGTTTCCATGTTCCACAGCAAAGCTTTACTGTGCACAAATCGCTGAGACATCATAAAAAATGTAAATATTTTTGCGTATTCGTGGGGATTGTGTAACTCAGCCCATTTCACCTATATATTTTGAAAAATTAAAAATCTTTCTAAGCTGGGTTGTCAGTTATACTGAAAATTCCCTTTGAAAGACAAATTAAATGTGAAAAGAAAACTTGAAAGGCTTTTACTATTTACCCATAGATACCAAAGAAGAACAAACATAAGTATATGACCAACCTCACATGTTTTAGGCAAGGATGCCTGGATAAAAGCAATCTCCTCCTCTTTAAATTTAAAATTAGCAATGAACCTTATGCACTCTTCAAGACCAGCAAAAATTGTATATTCACCGCCAAAAGGGTTCTTCCGAAAATATAAATCGAACCTGGAACATATTAAACGTTAGAAATTATGGGTTTATTAGAAGTATCCAAAAGGATGTAGCCCCAAAGAGGATAGCTTCATAGCATGGAAAGAACAGGGTTAGATTAAAAAATGGCGGGAAAAACTAACAGGATACCCCTTCAAAATGGACAAAGATTACCAAGTAAAACTCTAAGCCTCATCACATGGCAGCTCTTCACTCTAAGGGCTTATTATAGTATATATAGAGGAAAGAAAACTGTTTAAAATTTTTAAGTAGGAATAACATCGTGCCAGTTTAACTTTATCTCAGATTCATTGCCCAAAGTGCAAAAGGCAGTTGCATGACATGGAAATACCCAAATTTACATTCAATAACAAATTTTGATTTCCTTTAAAAAATGAAACCCAAGTGCTGACATAGTTGCTTTTGCATTGAAGGTTTCACTAAATGTTGTCCAGCAAGAAATGAACACAAAATCCATACCACACCTGCACTTTTAAAAACCAACCTACATATACATAACATCCATAATAGAAAATGACTGAAACTGGAGCGCCACACAGCTTATGAAAATAAAGAACTGGAGATAAAGAAAATTATTCACCATGTCACGAGGCAAACAGTAAATTCCACTCGCACAAATTTAGACTAACAGTATGACAATTTACTGCAAGACCTATGCTATTAAATTCAAATTGCCTAACTAATGTAATATAGAGTCGCATAGGATCTGGAGATGACCAAAATCACCAGCCCCCATTCTCTGTCTCCCTAGTTTAGAGCTTTTTGGGGGGAAACATTAAACTGAATGGATATGCTTGTAGTCAATAATATTGTTCATAATAAGTTTAGAAGTTTGAAAGAATGCATAAGAGAGCAGGTTTCTCTATTGTTCTCTTTCCAGAAAACACAAGTTGCCCATGGATTGGTAGCTATCATGAGACAATCTGTTGCAGGGGGCTATAGAAATGTTGAACAATCCAGTAGAGAAAATGTCGCAAGTTCTGAGGGAGGATGCCTTTTTCATTAAGTAATTAACTTATTAATTGTTGGGGGGAGGCAGGTTCCTGTATTCATATCCTCATAATTTCTCCAATTCAATGGTCAAATTTCTCTTGCTTGATCACCCATAGCATAGGTGTATGTAATGTCAAATCAAAAATTGATTTGTTTTCCCAGTACTTTTGGATAGACACTTACGCAACACCCTTTAAATTTCAATGGCTACTGGCAGCCAAAAATCAAAAAACTAATTCTAATTCATAAAGTTGATTTTCAGCAAGGGTTTCCAGAAATCATCTATCTATAGTCATTGTTGAACCTCTACACAAGTTGCTTGATCATTTAAAGTCATACGGTGCAACAAATGTGCATATATAACTTCATATTCAACAATACCTCTAGTCATGGTCAAGGCTCATCTATTTAATAAGTAGGTGAGTAATGAGTACATGATCAAGTTTGCTAGACCTGTTCTAAAAGCTCTCACTTCCTAAAAGCAACGTGAAACCAATGTACAATTATAGAAGTAGCATCAAATATGATTTCCACAGGTGAAGCATGCGTTGATGTAACACCAACTTCCCAATGTTAATAAATAGAGTTTGTACAAAAGAAAAAAAAAAATTAAAACATTTAGGGAGACTTGCGTGTAGGTCTAATAGGTGGACTTATTGTCCAATACGTCCTATGAGAATTAATGGTATTTTTCATCAATCACTACTAAAAAATGTCACTAATTGTTAATTTTCAACTACAGTTTAAAAATTATCACCAAAAATGTCACTAATTATAAATTTTAGTGACAATTTAAAAAAATTGTCACAAAAAAGTCATTAATTTTTAACCTTCAATGACAGTTTGAAAAATTCAACACATAAAAACGTCACTAATTATAAGTTTTAGCGACAACTTATAAAAACTGTGAAAAAAAGTCACTGATTGTCAATTTTTAACGACATATGCAAAAAAATTGTCACAAAAATTTATTTTTAATCACGATTTTACTATTTTCAATAGTACTTGATAGGAATTAAGTATAGGTAGTTTACCTAAATTTATACAAATGGCGTGACTAAATTGTGGGACTATCATTTTGAAACAAATAACCCATCAAGATCAATTTTAATTATAAAAATGTTACCAACACGTCATTCTGATGGAAGATTCCGTATACAAGTTCTGGAACAATATCATTTTCCTAACAAACATGTGTAGATGAGTCAAAAAAATTTATAGCAAGATATTTTCTATCATATAACATACTTGCATTAATTGAACATAGCCATGACCCTTTAGACTCTCAATTCTCTCACATTCATCCTTCCTTGTGTTTTTCATCTCTGTATGTGCAAGAAATCAATCTCCTCTCCTCTCTTAGTCACCACAAATTGTAATTATTTCAATAAAAATTTAACTACAGGAAAGGGTCTAGACCAATTGAATTTGTCCACAACAAACAAAACCCTCAATTAATGTTATTGATATTTGACAACTATATCAAAACGAATAATAAGGATTGACAGAGAGAGTAGAGAAGCAAATTTGCGTAGGGGAAAAAAAGAAGAAGAAAAGAACTAACACGGCTCGTTCGTTGTTCTTGCCAGCTTTCCAGTAAGCATAAGCCATACTGAACTGATAGAGATCTGATAGCAGAGGCGTCACCATCGGATTGGTCGGTCCAGGAATAACCTGCCGCCGGTTATCTTCTTCCTTGGGACCATTCGCCTCCATAGTTTGCCTCGAATTTGAAATTCTAGGGTTCTGTATTCTCACTCTGCAATCTCTTATTCTTCTTCTTTGTCACAGATATCTATCTATATACTCACTCATAACATATATATATATATATATATAAAGAGAGAGAGAGAGAGAGAGAGCGGACGTCTGTGAAACGCTGATAGTAAGACGTGCGAAGCGGGGCGAGAATCGATTCTACTAGAGAGAGAGAGAGAGCGGAGGTCTGTGAAGCGCTGATAGTACGACGTGCGAAGCGGGACGAGAATCGATTCAACAAGAGAGACTGTGATATAGAAATATGAACACGACACACTGAAAATTGAAGAAAATTTGGTTTGTGGTGTGGTACAACTACAACACTATTGGAATCAGCGATTTGGAGAAAAAAAAAAATAAAAAATAAATAAATAAATAAATTGAGAGACATGTATTTTTTTATTTGTTTGGATAATTTAATTAGAGAGAAATAGGAAGAAGTCTATTTTTCTCATAACCTTTATTTTTAATTTTTCTAAAAATAGAGAGATTAGAAGTGAAAAGAAACTTACATATTCTTATATTTTTATAATATCAATTTTGTCCCTATAAAAATAGAAGAAATAAAATGATTGATTGACTTGGAAGTTATTTTGTTAATATAACATAAAACACTTTTTTTTTTTAAATCAAACCAAACAAGAAGTAGAGAAATTACAATTATTTCTTTTATTTTATTTCTTACTTATCGAAACAGGAAGAAGAGAAATCACAATAATTTCGTTTCTTTTTTTTTTTCTTATAAATTAAGTAATTATTTTTTTTTTTCTTAGGTTCCCAAACATAGTGCAAAAGATAGGAGCAAATAAAAAAAGTCTAATGCTAGACACCAAAAAAAAATTATTAGGAAAATGTTATAAGTCTTAAATTTTTTACTAAATAAGTGACTAAATATTTCATATATAAGTATGGAGTCTATAAAATTATCGACATCACATGAGACATTTGGTCATTTATTTAGTAAAAAATTTAATATTTCTAACAATACCCTTTTTATTAAATCCCGTGGGAGAGTTTTTTAACCAAATATCTCATATTTAAGTAAAAAATTTAATAAATTTTTTAGAATTTTTAATATTTTTTAATAAAAAATGTAATAAAAACTATGAAATTTTATATAAACTTTTAGGAAAAGTTACCCAAAAAAAAATAAAAATTTAACATTATAACAAAATAAATTTTTAATTTTGTCAGTTAAAATTCTAATATTTTAATTTTTTTCAATTTAAACCATCTTTCTGTTTTCATTAAATAATATTATTGAAAAAAATATTTTAATTATTAAACTTAATATGAGAGTCTAGGAAATGTGTAAAAATTCATTTTTATTGAGTTTATTGATTAAAAAATATATTTTTTGACAATTTTTATTTAGACAAATGGTTTAAATTGAAAATAAGTAAAAAGAATTAGGATTTAAATTAAAAAAATTAAAAACTCAAATTTTATTTTGTTATGAAACTCAAATCTTCATGGTTTTTTTTTCTTTTGTAATTTTTCCAAATTTTTATTACTACTGGTATCAATCATATTATTAAAAAAAGGTTTGTTTTAATTTTAAATTTTTTATTATTGCTTAATACATTAATTAGTAGAATGAGTTGTAAGATTTATTAATTTATATAGAATTACTTGAACAAATAAAAAAATATAACTAAAATTAATGCACCTTTATTATTATATATATATAATGTGAAATTTCTCATTAAAGTTGTCTTTGCCTCCGTTTGGGAAGTGGGTTGGCTTTTTGGCTTTTTGGCTTTTTTGGCTATTTTAGCCTGGGCTTAAAAGCTTGGTTTGGGAATGGCTTTTTGACTTTTTGGCTTTTTGGCTTTTTTGAGTTTTTTTGTGAGAGAAGAATGTAATGATTATGGGTTGGATGTGATGTTTTGTTTGTTATGGCTAAAATAGCCTATTTTGTCTTTTGTGGCTAAAATAGCCAAAAAAGCCCAAGAACCAACTTGCCAAACAGAGGCTTTGTCGGTGACTGGGAGAGTTGCTAAAATCAATTGTAATTTGTCTCCTTCCCCAACAATATATATATATATATATATATGTATGTATGTATGTATATTATATTAAAATAATATATTTTAAAAGCTTATAATTAAAAATAAATGAACGAACAATCAGAGTGCACTCTAACTTAATCCAGTCCAAGGTCCATGTTCAAACACATTGAACTGTTGTAGATTTGAAATGTCTAATAGTTTTCTCAGTAATCAATTGTTTCATTTTTGACGGGCAAGAAAACCTATGTTCATAAATACTAAGTGTGTTTGGTTTGAATTTTTTGAATTAAATTTTTTAAAAATTTAATTTTTTAATTTTCATGTTTTTTTGTTTTTAAAAAATATTTTTAAAATTTTAAATATTTTTTTTACTTTTTTAGATACACCTTACTTAGATGTATCTAAAAAGTAAAAAAATTGTGAAAAAATATTTTAAAATTTTAATAAATACATAAAAATACAAAAAATATACTGAATTTTAGTATTTTTTTGTAATTTTGGTATTTAGTAAATATTTAAAAGACTTTTTTCACAAATTTTTTACTTTTTAGGTATATTTATATTAGGTATGTCTAAAAAGTAAAAAAAAAATTACTTAAAATATTTAAAAAATTCAGTAAAAACAAAAAAATACTAAAAATAAAAAAATAGAATTTTCTGAAAAATATTTTTGAAAAAACACAACCAAACAAGTTGGTATTTCATCTGTTCAAAACATTTTTCTTTTTCTTTTTCCCATCTAATACGTTTGTTATAGGATTAATTAGCCATACAGGAGAAAAGTTTGGTGCATAGGATACCCTCATTCAAGTGAGTTATCTATTTTTTTATTTTTCAATTGTCGGTGTTTGTATGTCTAGGATTGATCACGCATATACCTATGTGGCTTATTTTTCCTACGAAAGAAAATATCATAAATACGAGCGTGCCAACAAAGATTGAAAAATCCTTACAGATTAAATTCAAGCCAATTACCAAGCGATTGTGTTGACGGTTCGTTTGCCTCAACGAAGAGGACTTCAAATTTGCCAAGTGTAGCGAAAAGAAAAAGTAAAAGAAAAAAAGGGACGGAGAAAGATGATTGAGTGAACAATCAAAGTAATAAATACTTACCTCTACTCCTATGCTTCGAAAAGAAGGTGCATAAAATGCTTCGAAATGGAAATACTGAAAATAAATGCTTCGAAATATAAATCTATGTTAAACTACTCCTAAGATAAGGAAAATGACAAGAAATATTGAAATCAATTGTCTTTGATTTAAGTTCTGGCTCCCTTTACAATGTAGCCATTAATGGCTATTTATAAAAGAAAAAATACAGCAATAACTACTTAGTAACTATCCATTTCTTCAATCTTCATTCTTGTCTTGCCATGTGTCTTTCCACTCATCCACTTTGTCCTCCCACTCATCCACTTTGTCCTTCATATTCTTCATTATCTCTATAACTTCTTTTAACTTCCAAATGAATAAGAGGATGCCACGTGTCCTGCAATTATATAAATAATAAATAATAATAAAAATTGCAGATTTATGGTGCTAACATTACCCCCCGCGGCCCTTAAAAATGATGTTTATTTAAATTTTTGAAGGGCCGAACCAAGCACATGACTAACCTAAGCAGCAAAGTGCTTCGAATGATGTAACAACACCAATAAAGCGCTTCGAATGAGTATGAAATTATGACTAGATGACTCGAATTATTACTAGTAACAAGCTTCGAAAGTGATATAAAGGACCAAAATCATTCTTCGAAGGTCGATGGAATCGACAAAAGACGAATTACATCCTCAAAAATACTCGACAAAGCTTCGAAGGTTCATAACCACCATTATTATTTCTTCGAAGCTGTTGTTGACGCAAGATAGAGTGCTTCGAAGCATACAAAATTATGGCAAAACGGCTTTCGAAGCAACTTATGGCAAAACGGCTTTCGAAGCTGTTTTTGGCCAACATTGTGGTTTATTCAAAACTTATATGTTCTGGTTCACACATAATTAATGGAAATATTAATTTTGTGTTTCGAACCAATTATTAATTCTTCGAAGACACCAAAACTGTTGTTCTTCGAGCCAACTTATGATGCCAAAAACAGGCATTATTCGACAACTAATTAATTGTCATTTTACATATATTTGAAGAGATGTACACATTTCGAAAGTTTTCAAAGTTTTATACAGTTTCGAAGGTGAAGTAATCAACCTTCGAAACAACTCTTGATGTTTCGAATGTATCTTCAAAGCTTTATACAACTTCGAAGGTAAAGTAATCAACCTTTGGAACAACTCTTGATGCTTCGAATGTATCTTCAAAGCTTTATACAACTTCGAAGGTAAAGTAATCAACCTTTGGAACAACTCTTGATGCTTCGAATGTATCTTCAAAGCTTTATACAACTTCGAAGGTAAAGTAATCAACCTTTGGAACAACTCTTGATGCTTCGAATGTATCTTCAAAGCTTTATACAACTTCGAAGGTAAAGTAATCAACCTTTGGAACAACTCTTGATGCTTCGAATGTATCTTCAAAGCTTTATACAGCTTCGAAAGTAGAGTAATCAACCTTCGAAACAACTCTCGATGCTTCGAATGTATCTTCAAAGCTTTATACAGCTTCGAAAGTAGAGTAATCAACCTTCGAAACAACTCTTCAAACAACTCTTGATGCTTCGAATGTATCCTCGATGCTTTGATTGTGTACATACAAACAACTGGCCATCAATTCAATCCGTTAAATTAAGGGGCAAAATCGAGCAAATTGAAACTACAGGAACCAAATTGACACATCATGTAAAC